TAAGGCATTTGGCTAAGCAGCAGAAGCAGCCATAAGCTGGGAAGCGACCGGTCACCTCCTCACATTCCAAACTAGTCACATCGAAATAAGGTGCTATTGGGCTGTTAGGAATACAATCCTGTCCTGATAATGCCTATCACCTCCAGAGAAAGGGAAGTGCCTAGAAAATGTAAAAGGAAACTTAGTTTGATAGCATCCTGTCTGGCAAGAACTCACTTATCAATAGCTGGGATGTGAAATCCTCACTTCTGTATTGTCTTGTCATTATAGTTCCCACTTTGCTATTGTTTGTCTGTATAATCTCTGTCTGGTTCTGTGATTGTTCCTGTCTGCTGTATAATTAATTTTGCTGGGTGTAAACTAATTAAGGTGGTGGGATATAATTGGTTACATAATCATGTTACAATATGTTAGGATTGGTTAGTTAAATTTCAGTAAAATGATTGGTTAAGGTATAGCTAAGCAGAACTCAAGTTTTACTATATAGCCTGCAGTCAATCAGGAAGTGAGTGAGTGGGTGTGTGGGTGGGGGAGATGGGAACAGGGAATGGGGGTAAGGAAATTGGAATCATGTTTGACTAAGGGCAGGAATGAGAACAGGGACACAGGTGTAAGGCTCTGTGGTGTCAGAGCTGGGAAGGAGGATACTAAGGAAGGAAACTGGAATCATGCTTGCTGGACATTCACCCCAATAAACATCGAATTGTTTGCACCTTTGGACTTTGGGTATTGTTGCTCTCTGTTCATGCGAGAAGGACCAGGGAAGTAAGGGGGTGAAGGAATAAGCCCCCTAACAAACTGCCATTTCTTGGCTGAGATTTCCCCCAGTGTTATAGATTCATAGATTCCAAGGCTAGAAGGGACCATTTAACTTCTTCCAGTTCTGTTTATCCTTCACTCGTGGTACCATGTGGTGTTTTATGGTCAAGTAATCCACTAGTCTTAGTAACAGTGAAGTGAGCTGTAGCTCACAAAAGCTTATGCTCAAATAAATTTGTTAGTCTCTAAGGTGCCACAAGTCCTCCTTTTCTTTTTGCGAATTCACTGTTAGTAACTTAACAACAGTCGTTATTAGATCCATAGTTAACATATCTATGACGCTGGCCTCAGCTTTAGGCCTCAGCTGCAGGGGCACCATTTGGTGGTGGGGGGGAACAGGGAGAGAGGCTTCTGCCCCCCACCTCCTGAGTTTTGGCATAGGTCCTAGCCCCCAGGCAGAGCTCTTAACTGAGTGTGGAATGTGTGCTCTCAGAGGAGAGGTGCTGCTCCCAGCTTGTGCCCCTGAGGTAGGGAGTCTGTATTTTGGTTATAAATAGAGGCAGGGTGATTAAGATATAAAAGGGCTGGTAATTAAATTAAGGATCTGGAAGTCCTTAGCTGAACCTGTAAAACAGGAATCTCTCTGTTGGGGGGGAGGGCGTGGGGGAGGAGAGGAGAATTGAAGACAGAACTCAGGGGACTCAGAAGACATACAGCCAAGCCCGCTGAGCCAAGGGTTACATTCAGAAAAGAAGGAGATGTGAGGGGGATAGGAGAAAAGAAGGGGCCAAAACCCAGGTAAGGGATAGCAGCGGTATAGAGAAGTTCCCACTCTATCTGTGGTACTTCCTCACAGCCCCTCTGTGAGGTAAGGCTGGATTTTCAAAGATATTTAGGCACCTAGTGGGATTTTCAAAAGCGCCTAGAAGGTTACGTGTTTTGTTAACCCCACTAGATACCTAGTTGCATCTTTGGGTGCCTAAAAATCTTTGAAACTCTGTCCCAAAGGCACTGACTTGAGGTCATACAGGCAGTCCATGGGGGCAGTAGAACCCAGAGCTCGCTTTCTATCTACTGGACCAGCCTATCTCTCTGCTGCATGTTGCAAAAAAGAGGATTCTGATAGATGGGAGCAAAACCAAGGCGGCCAGTTCTCTAAGACTCCAGCAAATAGTCCAGGCAACTGGGAAGGGTGTCATGGTTGACAGCATGAAAAGCAGCATGAAGGTCAGGAACGATGAAGAAAGAGAGAGAATGAGAGTCAGGTGAGAGGAGATCACTTAACCCCCGAGGGGTGGCATGTTCTGCCCTGTGCTGGGTTGTAGAGCAATAGCTGCTGTGCAATTTTATATTTTAACTGAAAACCATTTTGTTTTGTCATTTTTTGTTCTGAGTTTGAGAAAAGGAAGGAATGAGAAAGTGTCATATGAATATCAGATGTGATTATCTATCAAATTCTTAAGGTTTCAGCTGTATTCAGGCCAATTCCAGAACAAAAAACAGAAACTGATCCACAGAGTCCATAAAGTCGATGATTATTGTCATGATTTGTATTATTCTCTGACACACAAGCACTGTTCAGACTATGCCAGAAAATATAGTCCCTGAGCCAATGTGTATAAAATGTGTAGCCCTGGATAAGATGGCTCCCATATATAAGTATGAAGTGTATAGTTATTGCACACATGTTAATATCTATAAGTGGAGGTGCTGATGACAATAGAAATTTATTATGGACTAGAAGATTTGACCGTCCAACTTTTTTTCAAGAGGAAGAGCTGCTTGTGCCTGTTTATTTTCCTTTCCTGCCTGCAGTGGCCCTGAGATACCTCAGAAGACTCAATTTTTTTCTCAGTTTTAAAATGTGAAATTTTCTTGCTGTTTGGTTTTAAATATTCTCCTGTGAGAACTGCAACTCAGTCTCTGGAGTGTTGTGTTTCAGAGCCTTCTGGAAAGTCACTCGCCTTTAAACAGAAGCGAAAGCAGTGCTGACAACTCTCATGACTTTGTCATGAGTCTCATGATAATTACTGTTCTCCTTAAAGCCCCAGCTCCTGGAGTCAAGTGATATGTGATGATTTCAGCCTTCATTGTTAAAGAAAAATGAAGATTCTAGCCCTGAAGGCTGTGGAAACAGCTTCAAAATGTGACCCCAGTGCACCCTAAAGGCTCAAGAAGCAGAAGGCAAATACAAAAAACACCAAATCTATTATTTGTTCATGATCTCATGATTTTTAAGACACTTTCATGATTTTTGGTGAGCCTGACTCCTGATTTTTGAGCATTTGGGGTTGGCAACACTGTGAAAGTGACTTGAAAGGGTCAGTTTCACTCCTGTTTAAAGTCAGTGTCTAGTCTATTATTTGCAGTGGGGTAGCACCCCTAGAGCCCCAGGCTGGTGCAATATAAACTCACAGGGCCTCGCTCTAGTGGGATGTTTCCAAAAGTTAAATGATCCATTCCAAGCCTGGTGAACTGCAAAAAGTAAGTAGGCTGAATGATAGAATGTAATCTAGATTTTTCTACAACTGTTTCAATTGTTGTGTTCAAGGGCAAGAATATACATTAAAATTTTAAACCTAACCGGTGTCCCTTAAGTGACTTGACACAAGCGGTCAGAACATGTTAGTATTAGAGCTGAGGGGCGTCTAATATTTATTTAATTTTCTTTCTTTATATAGGAATTAGATACAGTGCTCCTGTCAGCTAATTGCTAAATTGTTATCTGTAAAAACAAACAAAAACCTAGAGTTTTCAGGTGCCTAAGTAGCCCATGGAATCATAGTTAAAGTTGCCCCAACATCAAAATCTGAAGTGATGCACAGGGAAGTCATGTAGGATCAAGTGCCCCCCCCCCCAATTTGGCCTGCTGGGGAGGGAGGAAGAGGGGCTCTGTCCTCATTCTGCGCCTGCCCTCTGGCACGCTCAGCCCCTGTCATAGAATCATAGACTTTAAGGTCAGAAGGGACCATTATGATCGTCTAGTCTGACCTCCTGCACAATGCAGGCCACAGAATCTCACCCACCCACTCCTGAAAAACCTCACCTATGTCTGAGCTATTGAAGTCCTCAAATCGTGGTTTAAGGACTTCAAGGAGCAGAGAATCCTCCAGAAAGTGACCTGTGTCCCATGCTACAGAGGAAGGCGAAAAACCTCCAGGGCCTCTTACAATCTGCCCTGGAGGAAAATTCCTTCCCGACCCCAAATATGGCGATCAGCTAAACCCTGAGCATGTGGGCAAGACTCACCAGCCAGACACCCAGGAAAGAATTCTCTGTAGTAACTCAGATCCTACCCCATCTAACATCCCATCACAGGCCATTGGGCATATCTACCACTAATAGTTGAAGATCAATTAATTGCCAAAATTAGGCTATCCCATCATATCATCCCTTCCATAAACTTGTCAAGCTTAGTCTTGAAGCCAGATATGTCTTTTGCCCCCACTGCTTCCCTTGGAAAGCTGTTCCAGAACTTCACTCCTCTGATGGATAGAAGTCTTTGTCTAATTTCAAGTCTAAACTTCCTGATGGCCAGTTTATATCCATTTGTTCTTGTGTCCACATTGGTACTGAGCTTAAATAATTCTTCTCCTTCCGGGGTATTTATCCCTCTGATATATTTATAGAGAGCAATCATATCTCCCCTCAGCCTACTTTTGGTTAGGCTAAACAAGCCAAGCTCTTTGAGTCTTCTTTCATAAGACAGGTTTTCCATTCCTCGGATCATCCTAGTAGCCCTTCTCTGTACCTGTTCCAGTTTGAATTCATCCTTCTTAAACATGGGAGACCAGAACTGCACACAATATTCCAGATGAGGTGTCATAAATATAAAGGGAAGGGTAACCACCTTTCTGTATACAGTGCTATAAAATCCCTCCTGGCCAGAGGCAACATCCTGTTACTTGTAAAGGGTTAAGAAGCTCAGCTAACCTGGCTGGCACCTGACCCAAAGGTCCAATGGGGGACAAGATACTTTCAAATCTTGGGGGGGGGGAAGGCTTTTGTCTATGCTCTTTGTTTATGTGGTTGTTCTCTCTTGGGATTGAGAGAGGCCAGACAGAAATCCATCTTCTCCAACCCATCTGTCATAAATATAAAGGGAAGGGTAAACACCTTTAAAATCCATCCTGGCCAGAGGAAAAACAATTTCAGCTGTAAAGGGTTAAGAAGCTAGGATAACTTGGCTGGCACCTGACCAAAATGACCAATGAGGAGACAAGATACTTTCAAAAGCTGGGGGGAGGGAGAAACAAAGCCTCTCTCTCTGTCTGTGTGATGCTTTTGCTGGGGACAGAACAGGATTGGAGTCTTAGAATTCAGTAAGTAATCTAGCTAGATATGCGTTAGATTCTGATTCCTTTAAATGCCTGAGAAAATAAGCTGTGCTGAATGGAATATAGATTCCTGGTTTTGTGTCTTTTTGTAACTTAAGGTTTTGCCTAGAGGGATTCTCTATGTTTTGAATCTGATTACCCTGTAAGGTATTTACCATCCTGATTTTACAGAGGTGATTCTTTTTACTTCTATTAAAATTCTTCTTTTAAGAATCTGAATGCTTTTCTCATTGTTCTTAAGATCCAAGGGTCTGGGTCTGTGTTCACCCATGCAAATTGGTGAGGATTTTTATCAAACCTTCCCCAGGAAGGGGGGGTGTAAGATTTGGGAGGATTTTGGGGGGAAAGATGTTTACAAACGGGCTCTTTCCAAATTATATCCCTGTTAGACACTTGGTGGTGGCAGCAATAAGGTCCCGGGACAAAAGGTAAAATAGTTTGTACCTTGGAGAAGTTTTAACCTAAGCTGGTAAAAGAAAGCCTAGGAGGTTTTCATGCAGGTCCCCACCTCTGTACCCTAGAGTTCAGAGTGGGGAAGGAACCTTGACACCATCCTAATCCAAGTCTCCAATATTGCAACCAGTATAGGTAAACCAGGCAAGGCGGATTAGTTTATCTTTTGTTTTATGTAAATTTTCCCGGTGTTAACGAGGGAGGTTTATTCCTGTTTTCTGTAACTTTAAGGTTTTGCCAGAGGGGGATCCTCTGTGTTTTGAATCTGAATACCCTGTAAAGTATTTTCCATCCTGATTTTACAGAGATGATTTTTACCTTTCTTTTTTTTTAAATAAAATCCTTCTTTTAAGAACCTGACTGATTTTTTCATTGTTCCAAGATCCAGGGGTTTGGTCTTTGATGATTTTGTAACCAATTGGTTAGGATATTGTTCTTAAGCCTCCCCAGGAAAGGGGGTGTGTAGGGCTTGGGGGGATATTTTGGGGGAAGATGTCTCCAAGTGGTCTCTTTCCCTGTTCTTTGTTTAAAACGCTTGGTGGTGGCAGCATACTGTTCAAGGATAAGGCAAAGTTTGTACCTTGGGGAAGTTTTTAACCTAAGCTGGTAAGAATAAGCTTAGGGGGTCTTTCATGTGGGTCCCCACATCTGTACCCTAGAGTTCAGAGTGGGGAAGGAACCCTGACATGAGGTGGTAGTAATACCTCCTTATCTCTACTGGAAATACCTCGCCTGATGCATCCCAAGACCGCATTAGCTTTTTTCATGGCCATATCACATTGGTGGCTCATGGTCATCCTGTGATCAACCAATACTCTGAGGTCCTTCTCCTCCTCTGTTACTTCCAAGTGATGCTTCCCCAGTTTATAACAAAAATTCTTGTTATTAATCCCTAAATGCATGACCTTGCACTTTTCACTATTAAATTTCATCCTATTACTATTACTCCAGTTTACAAGGTCATCCTGATCTTCCTGTATGATATCCCAGTCCTTCTCTGTATTGGCAATACCTCCCAGCTTTGTTTCATCCGCAAACATTATTAGTACATTCCCGCTTTTTGTGCCAAGGTCAGTAATAAAAAGATTAAATAAGATTGGTCCCAAAACCGATCCCTGAGGAACTCCACTAGTAAGCTCCTTCCAGCCTGACAGTTCACCTTTAAGTGTGACCCATTAGTCTCCCCTTAAATCAGTTCTTTGTCCACCCTTCAATTTTCATATTGATCCCCATCTTTTCCATTTTAGCTAATAATTCCCCACGTGGAACCATATCAAATGCCTTACTGAAATCGAGGTAAATTAGATCCACTGTGTTTCCTTTGTCTAAAAAAATCTGTTACTGAAGGACATAAATCTATACTGTGTAGAGGTCAAGTATAGGAGTTTATTACATACAGCGCTGATGGAGTGCCACCTCGCTTATTAGGCTCAGATACAAGTGAGCTGTAGCTCGCAAAAGCTTATGCTCAAATAAATTGGTTAGTCTCTAAGGTGCCAAAAGTCCTCCTTTTCTTTTTGCGGATACAGACTAACACAGCTGCTACTCTGAAACTAATTTCCCTGTGAAGGTGTATGATTCACAAGCTTTTACTGCCCACATAGCGCAATCCAGAGCGGCTACGCACTCCAGTAGTCCCTGGGATACAGGGGGTCTCAAGGTAGATAGGTATTCTATTAGACATTGCTTATCTCCGTGAAGTTTTGTCAATACACCTGAGTATTGAGTTTCACTATGGCTGCAGTAAAGGTGGAACGGCTTTTCCATATTGGGTAAACCCAGGCTAGGGGCAGAGGCTAAAGCCTGTTTTATTTTTATAAATGTCTTCTCTTGGTCTGTGCCCCATATTACTAACTAATTTGCAGGCTTTCCTCCTCTAGTGAGGCTTTGAATTGGTTTTACCATCCTGAGTACTTCGAAATATATGTTTTACAGAAATTGAGGAGTCCCAGCACCTTCCGGACTTCCTTAATTGTCTGTGTTGTTTTTAACTCTGGAATGGCCTGCTTTCTGTCTACTGTGTGTGCTTTCTCTCCCTGTGAGATGTTACGCCCTAGATCAGGCCTGCACAACGTCCAGCCCCAGGGCTGCATGCGGCCCCCGGGGTCTCACAGTGCGGCCCGCAGGGGGTGTAGGCAAGTGGCGGGGTGGGCAAGCCAACGGCTGGCTGGCTGGCTGGCTGGCCGGCTGGCGGGCGGGTGGGGTGGTGAAGACGCCAGTGGCTGGGGGGGCAGGTGAGCTGGCGGGCAGGGGAGGGGGGCTGAGGAGGCGAGCCAGTGGCGGGAGGCGAGTAGGTGAGCTGCGGGGGGTGGGCGGATGGCGAGCCGAGCAGGGGGGCGTGCGGGCGGGAAGGGGCAGCAATACTGGATTTGCCATGGCGCCGGGCCCACGGGTCCAAAGGGGCCCCGGCCAGGCCTGCTCTCTCCTGTGGGGGCAGAAGCTTGATGCTGCCAGCAACTGGGGCTCCTCCCCTGCCTCTTCCCCCAGCCTGCTACATTCCCTCCCCTCTCCCTGCCGCTGCTTGCCGGCAGGAGGGAGGGGGAAGAGCGGAGCCTCAGCGAGCTTGCTGCTCTGGGGCGGAGGAGAAGAGGCGGGGGTGGGACCTTGGAGAAGGGGCTGGAATCGGGGCTACTTCCTCCAGCCCCTGCCGTGAGCACCCCCACGACTCCAGTCCCCTGCCCCGACTCCTGCACCTCCAGCCCCCTGCCCTGACCCCTGCACCCCCTCACATATCCCCAGGTGCTTGCTTCTAACCCCGGAGAAGGTCAGTACGTCTGCTCTTCTCTAGTCAGCCCACTTGACAAGTTTGATTGTCCTTGATCTGGCTCCCATCACCTCTCCAAGGGTTGCAGCTGTCTGGAGGTGCCTGCCTTCCACGCCTTCCTCATTCACACCTCATTCATTCAACAGGGCAATTGATTACAAAGTGGAGGGAAGATCTTATTCTACTTCTAGCAAAAAAACATTTTTCTTTTACCTTAATTATACTACCATAGGGGCCTGCTATAACATATTACCAAGGGTCAATACAAAGTCATATAAAAGTTATACAAAAATGCATAATGCAGAGATTTATCTACAACTGCATTGATTGACTGCTGTGTGAAGTAATATAGTGACCCCTGGGTCTTTGAATGAGGCTTTATACTTGGGGGAGCGGCGAATTAGGGGCGAGCGGGTGGGCAAGCGGTGGGTGGGCAAAGAGGCGAGCAGTGAGCCAGCAGGGGTTCTAGGGGAGGGCATGTGGGTTTCTGGCAGGGGAGGGAGGAGGTGAAAGAGGCGAGTGGTGGGTGGGGGACTGACTAGGAGGGACGCAGCAAGCCAGCGGGGGGTTAGGGGGTGAAGAGGGGTGTGATGGTGGGGCCTAGCGGGGAGAGGACGGGTCCTATTTTACTGCTGTGATCTGGTCACCTTATGCACGCTGTTTCTTTCCCCCTCTACAGGCTTCCACACACCATCAGTTCCTTGTTAGCGTGCCATGCACCGTGAGATATCTCTTCTCTTTGTGTGTGACTGTGAGTGTTTCCCTTGTGTGTGAATTTATTCAATACAATCTTGAGCTTCATAATGGATACCATGAGTGAAAAGAAAAAGGGAAAAATAGAATCAGAGCACAGAGTTTTCAACAATGAATGGACGAATAAATACTTATGTACAGTTTCCAAAGACAAATACTGTGCCTTGTGTGTCGCGAAACACTAGCCGTTCCGAAAGAATACAACCTTCGGTGGCACTTTGAAACTAAACATCCCAATCTCACCAAATTGAACCCAAATGAAAAAATAATTAAAGCAGCCAGTTTAGCGAAAAACCTTAGTGGAGAACAGCAAATTTTCAAGAAAGTGAGCACAGAGAGCGATTCGGTTAGGAAAGTAAGCTTTCATATTTCTAAGGAAATTGCTGGTGGTGGGAAATACTTCACAGGAGGCGAGTTTTTAAAAAAGTGTATGTTGATTGCTGTATCTGAGTTATGTCCAGAAAAGAGGGGAATATTTGAGAATGTCAGTCTATCACGCATGACTGTACAGAGAAGAATAGCTGACTTTTCTACCAATCTAAGCGATCAGTTAAAGCAGAGAGTCAGTGAATTCTGCTTTTACTCCCTAGCTGTGGATGAAAGCACCGATTTAAAAGACACAGCCCAACTTCTTATTTTTATTAGTGGTATTGATAAAAACTTTGTAATTACTGAAGAACATGTGCTCCATGACAGGTGACACAACCGGAAAAGAAATCTCCAGTGAAGTGATAAAGTGCATGAATGATAAGTCGGGATTAGATTTCACAAACTGGATGGCCATTTGTACTGATGGTGCTGCAGCTATGTTACTCTTCTTGAAGGAGCAGTTACTCTTCTTGAAGAATTTATTGGGAGACAAATAACCAAACTTCACTGCATTCTACATCAGCAGGTTTTGCGTAGCAAAGTTTTAAAATTTGAGCATATAATGTCAGTGGTAGTTTCCATTGTAAACTACATACGTTCTAGAGGACTAAAACATAGGACATTTCGAGCCTTTCTTGAAGGCGTAGATGCCAAGTGCAGCGACTTAATCTACAACACGGAAGTGAGGTGGTTGAGTCAAGGAAGAGTGCGCCAGTGTTTCATTGCTTTGAAAGAGGAGGTAGCAAAATTCCTAGAAAATGGGCCAATAAAATTCCCAGAGCTTGAAAATGAGTCCTGGAATCAAGATCTTTTTGTTTTGTGATATTACTGCACACCTGAATGATCTCAACATTCAACTTCAGGGGAAAAATCAATGTATATTTCAAATGTGTGCAGCGGTGAAAGCTTTCAAAATGGAATTGAAACTTTTCAGAAGTCAGCTGTCAAAAGGCGAAATGACAGGTTTCAGAGTAACAGCCGTGTTAGTCTGTATTCGCAAAAAGAAAAGGAGTACTTGTGGCACCTTAGAGACTAACCAATTTATTTGAGCATGAGCTTTTGTGAGCTACAGCTCACTTCATCGGATGCATACCGTGGAAACTGCAGCAGACATTTTCCCACTTGTGCAAAGCGTATCCCTCAGCACAAACACGCCGAGTTAGAAGAAAAATATGCAAAGCACATTAATCTTTTGATTGAAGAATTTGAGAGAAGACTTACTTTGTCTAAAGAAGAAGACGTCCAGTTGAAGCTGATTGAATATCCCTTTTCTGTGGATCCAGAGGAAGTGCCACTAGATTTGCAGTTGAAGGTTATTGAACTTCAATGTTCGGCAGTTTACCGAAATAAGCACAGAGAAAGCAGCCTGTGGGACGTCTACAAAAGTCTGGACAATGAAAAATACAAGAATCTTATCGAAGTTGCACTGAAAACGTTCAGCATTTTTGGAAACACTTACATATGTGAACAAACATTTTCCATCATGAACATGAATAAAAACAAGCAACGTTCTTCTTTGAGTGAGGACCATTTGGAAGACATTATGAAAATATCTACTTCAAATATGACCCCCGAATATGACAAGCTTGTTGCCGAAAAGAGATGTAATATCTCTCATTAAACTTGCAAGGTAATTATGAAAAGTACAAATGTTTTCTTTCAATGGAACAGGTGTTTTTCATTTTTCCATGATTCATAAAAAAAAATAAAATTAAAAAAATTGTTTGCTTTAATTGAAAAATTCTCAATAAAGTATCACCCTCCCCCCCCCCCCCCCCCCATCTTCCTTTTCAGCCCACAGCTGTTTTGGCGGGGCAGTGCTGAGGAAGGAGGGTTTGTTTCCGCGGGGCGGGCAGGCTGGGGGGGGGGGGTTCCGCAGGTTCGGGCGGCGCTGGGGGAGGGTTTTGGTGGGCCCGGGGGGGGTTCCGCCCTCAGTTGTTTTCTTTGAAGTCATATGGCCCTCGCTGCTTTATGAGTTGTGCAGGCCTGCCCTAGATATAAAACCTGCTACTGTTGCAATTGAGCTTTCTTCACTCTTAATTTAAATCCTGCCTCGCGAAGATATATAAACAGTCTGTTTAGGGTTTTTAAATGGTCCTTTTTATTTGAACTGGCAATTAGCAAGTCATCTACATACTGCAGTATTACAGTATCCCCTTCCAAAGGCACTTGTGCTACTACTCCTACCATCACCCTGTGGAAGATAAAGGGAGAATTATGGAACCCCTCGGGTACTCGGGTCTAAGTGTACTGCTGGTCTTCCACTGTAAATGCAAATTTCTCCTGGCTTTCTTTTGCAAGGAAAATACTTAAAAATCTATTAGCTATATCCAGGACTGAGAATACTGAGTGTCCTGGTTTTAGCAAATTAAGGATAGTGGCGGGGCTTGCCACAATAGGATGTGCCTTTGAGTCACCCGGTTAAGGTGGGTGTAGTCTATAGTTAACCTCCAGGTTCCGTCTGGCTTCCGGACGGGCCAAATTGGGGAGTTAGTTAGGGAGGTGTTTTTTTTAATCACCCCTCTAGATTCCAAATTAGTGACTATAATTTTAACTTCCTCTAAGGCTTCTGGTTTAATTGGGTACTGCCTATGGGCTTTATGAGTTGACCCCTCTACAGATATGGGCTTTATATTTACTAGCCTACAATCTTGTTTATCTGTTGCCCACACTTCAGGGTGAAGGGAACACAGTGTTTCTACTGGACTCCCCCCCTCCCCACTCTGGTATTCTTGCTTTACTACTGGCAATCATGGCTATATTTTGAGATAATCTTTCCTGTTTGGACCCTTTGGCCCATTCAATGCAGCTAGCTCTGGGGTTGATTACTCCCCCGAGCTCCTTAAGGAGATCTATGCTGCAAATTGTGTTTCCCTGCTCGGGGCAAACCCAGATTTGACTGACTGTGACCATATCTTTAAATTTTATTTCTACTGGCTGGCTTAGGGTTGCTTTTAATCTTTCCCCTCCCACCCCTTCAATCCATATGGTTTGACGGGTGAGGGGAAGATCTTGGCTGGTTATCGATACCGAGGCTCCTGTGGCTATTAACATGTTGCACGGTCGGCCCCCCACTTGTGTGTTAAGAAACATCCTGGGGTCGCCTTCGTATGCAGCCACTGAGGCCGCTATTACCTATTTGCTAGCCAGGAATTTGAGCAACTCCTGGATTTGTTTCTTTTCTTTTCTTTTTTTTTTTTTTTTTTTTTTTGGTTCTTGAGTTGTATCAGGTTTATTCTGTTTGTTTGGCCACTGGCTCTTCTTACCACCCCGGGGGCGGAAGCAGTCTTCCTTTAAGTGGCCGCTCCTTTTACAATTACTGCATATTTTGATTTTATTTTTATTTTTACAGTCACATGCCAGATGTCTAAGCTTATTGCATATGAAGCAGGTAGTGGTTTAGATTCCATGAACTGTAATTTTCTCAGGGGGTGATTGCTGCTACCTTCCTCTTTTTCCTGTTTTTACTTCTGTGGCCCATTTCATTACTGCTGAGTATGTCTCTCCCACTGAGATGCCTAATGCCAGAACTGCTTGGTGGTCTGCAGACAGCCCTTCCTTTCGGATTTGGAGGAATACATCATGGTCTCAGGATGTTATATTCTCCAGACCTGAATAAGCTCAGAATGCATTCCGTTTCTTTTCAGCATAAGACGTGGCAGACTCCCCCTCCTGCTGAACCACTGATTGCAGAGCCCCCCAGTTAGAGGTCTGGGCTCCTAGAGCAGCAGATAGTGCAGTTCTGAATTCTGTTACCATGCCTGCCTCTGGGTTTGGAGTTCCTGCGGGTTCTCCAGCTTGATCCCCGCCCGCAGGGTTGGCGTTATGATCTTCAGCCCAGTGCCCCGTCTTCCATTTATCTTCCAGGTTGTCCCACACATCCCTGGGGCACTTACACTTGACCAGGATGTGAACATCCTTCCTGTGGAGGCCGTGTATTTCAGCCAGGCCATCCAGCTTGTCCCAGAACTCAGAGTTCTTGTTATCTTGTTTGAGTTCAGGTAAATCAGACAGTAATGCCCGTTTTTCCTGAGGGGTGAAGGGACGGTAGATTTCAGTTGTTTCTATCCTGAGTCCCCTTACTGGTTCACCCTCTGCATTAACATTTCTGAAGCTCCTTAACTGCGTTTTGATTGGAGCCATATACTGTACTTGCTCCCCTGAGGCAATTAATTGTTGTGATGCCCCTTTATTGTCTCTGGGGGTGCCCAAATTTGGCCTTTCACATGAAGAAATGTATGGAGGGGGTTCTGATTCCTCCCCTTTGCCTTGTGCTTCTGAGTTTTCCCTCAGATAGTTAACCGGTGGTGCAGTTGGCTGACAAATGCCGGGAGTGGGCTCTCCCCCTCCTGCTCTGGGTGTGTGTCCCAGGTATAGTGAATATAGTTCTTTTGTTCTGGGATCTTTTCCAATTTCCTGACAATTACATGGTTTAAAGCACAAGCTCTTATTCTTTAGAGCCTGATTCTCAGATTTTAAAGTTGCAATTTCTCTTTCTTTTAGGTTGAGTATATTCAATAACACTATTACTGCCTTGTCTGTTTTGTTACCTTTCTGACTATTTTACCAAGTAACCAGATCTGCCAGTAGTCTCAATCTCTACAGCCTTGATCAGGATTTATCTTTCCCCTTTTAATGCTATGGTCTCAAGTTCCACAGCCCTGATGGGGACATCTCCCCTTTCTTGTTAACTGCCTCACGGTCTTACGTTACACACAGCTGACTGCCTTATTGGTTGGAGACTTTGTGCTATTTGAAAGCATGTACGTCACATGCCTGCGGGCGGGGGAGGGGGGCACTCCCCTAGGACTTGCAATGTTACGTGCAATGAGGAAATGGGACCACCAGTTTGCACTGCCTACCACTTGCGTACCCAGCCAGTCTTGGGCTTAACTCGTGGCCAATCGCTTGCTGGTGGTTTATCCAAGTCCACCGTAACACCCCCTTAATTTAAATAGTACATGACCCTCTTGCACTCGTCTTCCCTTCCAATGGGTACCCTTATTTAACCCCTCTGCGTGGAGTACACATGTCTAGGTTCCTTTACTTAAATTTAAAAGTGGAAACAAGATGTGTCTGAAAGGGGATGAGAGACTTCTATCCCTGGCCTAATGAGGTGGTAAAGTAAACATACTCACCTCTTTTTTGGATTTTAGTCTTAGATCCTCAATTAGCTCACAAGCCTGTATCCCGGACAAGCCCCCAAACTGAAGGACATAAATCTACATCGTGTAGAGGTCAAGCATAGGAGTTTATTACGTACAGCGCTGACAGAGTGTCACCTCACTTATTAGGCTCAGAGACACTGTCAATTAATTAATTACAATAAAATATATGGATTTTCCATGAGCAGGAAAAGTGGCGGGTAGGCAGTCCACACCCCCGGATAGGTTTAGCTGCAAGACATGATAGCACAGTAGCTAATGGTCAAAAGGTTACATAATGTCTCCGCCCATGGTCTTAATGTTAACAAATTAACATTTAGTATTTAATTAGTACTTTAATAGATGTATTAGTATAAAATATATGTTGAATTCAATTTGGGGTCCATAGAAATGAAGTAGCTCCTTTGATTGTCCAACATGTACAACATATCTAGGGGTAAAAAGGGCAACAAAAATGATTAGGGGTCTAGAACACATGACTTATGAGGAGAGGCTGAGGGAGCTGGGATTGTTTAGCCTGCAGAAGAGAAGAATGAGAGGGGATTTGATAGCTGCTTTCAACTACCTGAAAGGGGGTTCCAAAGAGGATGGCTCTAGATTGTTCTCAATGGTAGCAGATGACAGAACGAGGAGTAATGGTCTCAAGTTGCAGTGGGGGAGGTTTAGATTGGATATTAGGAAAAACTTTTTCACTAAGAGGGTGGTGAAACACTGGAATGCGTTACCTAGGGAGGTGGTAGAATCTCCTTCCTTAGAGGTTTTTAAGGTCAGGCTTGACAAAGCCCTGGCTGGGATGATTTAACTGGGAATTGGTCCTGCTTCGAGCAGGGGGTTGGACTAGATGACCTTCTGGGGTCCCTTCCAACCCTGATATTCTATGATTCTATGAAAAGCAAAGAAACAGTGAAAGTATATGGCAATAAAGATTGTCTTTTAAGTTGCTTATTTGTGTTTTAAGGCAGGCATCAGTTTCTGGAAAAGGGAGTTGGGAGGAGGCCATATCTTATACTGACATGTTCCAACCTTTCATAAACTCAAGGTTGGATGTGTGGGAAGAACATCTCGCTACAGGAGAAACTAACACAACAGAAACAGGGCTTCTTTGTTCTATTTGCAATTTTGAATAAGACACAGTTATTTCCCCCAACATCTGGCGTTTTGCTAACCAGACATATCTTAACAAAAACAAGGTTATCTTTGGTTATTCTGCTTTCTCTAAGCTAATCACTATTTGCTAGGCCTTTAACCTCTTGACCAAACTCTGGACTTTGGGCCTGTACACAAATCCATATACAAAGTTATTACATCAGCAATAGATTTTAACCCTGCAGTTACTTTCTCAAAGAAGGATATCAGGTTGGTTTGACACAATCTACCTTTTGTAAAACCATGTTGTATTTTGTCCCAATTACCATTGACCTCAATGTCCTTAACTACTTTCTCCTTCAAACATTTTTCCAAGACCTTGCATACTACAGATGTCAAACTAACAGGACTGTAGTTACCCAGATCACTTTTTTCCCCTTTCTTAAAAATAGGAACTATGTTAGCAATTCTCCAGTCATATG